AGAGTCATCTTGGAATTCATTCTGAATATATAAGGGGACTTCTAAAAATTCAGAGAAATAAAATACAAGTTTATTTTGGTGCAATGAAATTCTGAAATTGGGGCCAGCAGGTGGCTTAGTGGTGAAGATGCTGGATCCCACACAGCCAACTTCGTGGTTCAAATCCTGGACCTGGAAGCTTGAAAAACACACTGGGGGCACTGTGCATATATGCTGAAAATCCCAAGAGGAACGATTTCTCTTTCTTTCTCTGTCGCTCTCTGGCAAGTACATGCACCCTGTGGCCCCCCCAAAATTTTTAAATTGTTTTTTCATAATACGCATCTTCTATGAGCCTTCTGAAGATCCTAGACATATGTAAATCGATCTTATTTAAAGGTATGTGGATAATTTAGTGAGTAAATACTATGTGCCAGGCTTTCTTCCAAAGTTAGACAATGAAGCAGAACAATGAACAAGAGAGAAAAAGCCTCTACTCTCAAGCTTACAATCTTGTAGGAAGGGTAAAACAAGAGACATGGTATGTCAGATGGTGACATATACTGCAGGGGAAAAGGATGAATGTGAGTATAGAGAGAAAAGAGGTGTTGCTTTTCTTTCATTTTTAAAAGTAGGATGGTAGGGAAGACCACACTGGTAAGGCCATATTTGAGCAAAATGAAGACCCAATGGAAATGAAAGGAAGGTGGAAAGCCTGCCATACAGACAGAATTCAGGCTTACTCTCATTTTAAAGAGTAATACTACCACCGAGTTAAAGCAGTGAGACAGGGCCAGCAGTAATGCAACACTCTACAATACTGACGGCACATGGAAGCATTCTGAGTTTGCATCTCAAGTAATTCTGGCAGGCTAAGTTTGGCAGTGGATTGCAGCATGGGACTTTGTTGGGATTATCTGTAGCTTTCCCTCTGATAGGAAAAATAAACTTGGGAGTGGTACTAATAAGTTAAGTGTAGGGGCAGTCTTGGCCAAGGGAAGTTCTCTTTCGCACAAGTGTAAGCTGGAAGAATCCCTTGGGAATAATGCTGTCAAGAGAACTAAGGTGGTTATAGCAGCGTGCACACAGTATGGTCAGCATGGGAAAGTCAGGCCAAACTGGGTTCAGTCAAGGTTACTGAGATGATGCAGGAGTTAAAGCTTGAATAAGTAGGCATTAGGCAGGAGAGACAGAAAATGGTATCAAGAGGACAGATAGATCAGTGCTTTACCAACATGAACTTGGGCAAGTCATTTACACCCTGTGCC